GCAATCCAGTTCCATTAGATCAAGCAAAATTGTACAATTGCTGTCATCATCATTTTCAATAACTTTTCCTTCTTCTTGAACTCTTTGATAGCAGCTCCATTTTATCCCCTCCCACCCCCAGCCTACCACCCCCATTGGCCCTTAATTATATATTATATATTATTATTACCCTTTCTTACACCATCCAATGTATCCATTCACCGGCAACTCTGTTGTTCATTCCCCTCCGGTGGGGTTATGCAGCCATCGCTCTATCTTCTCTTTTCTTGTCAATGCAGGCTCCGGATTTGGGGCTGCCACCAAAGCAATGTGCATCGGCATGCGCTATTGGAAGCCCGAGCGGCTGGAAACCCTCATTGAAGTCAGCATCGAGTGTGGACGGATGACGCACAACCACCCTACAGGTAACGCTGGCGTTGGCTCTCATCTCAAAGCCATGCCACCTAAGTGGTATGAGTGTGTCTTTTTAGACACAGCAGAACTTCATCTCCATCATTTCCTGGGTACCTACTTTATAATTCTTCTCCACACTCTTGTTACTCAAGGAAACTCATGCAGTCGCATCCATTTGTTCATTTCACTTATTTGTTGTGAGACTTGGAGCATTTTTGTTTTGTTTTGTTCAGCTTGCTTGAGTTACGTTTCCATCCTAAATACTGGGTGGTGGTTACCATGGTGACATTGGAGAAGTAATGGGTGTGAAAGGGTTAGTTTTGATATCTTTCACATCCAAAGGAACCCTGGTAGTGTTGTGGGGGCATGTTTGGTTGCTAACTGCATAGTCAGCAGTTCAAACCCACCAGCGGCTCTGCAGGAGAAAGATGAGGCTTTCTACTTCCTTCAACAGTTACAATCTCGGAAACTCATAGGAGCAGTTCCACCTGCCCTGTAGGGTCACTGTGGATCGGGAGAGACTCCGGGACAGTGAGATTGGTTTGGGATTTTTTTCACATCCAGCAAAAGAAGGAAATGGAAAGTAGCACCTATTTGAATGAAGCTAGGGTTGCAGTAACCGGAAGTAGACTTGATGTTGTGTTTTCAATAATGAAGCTGAATGACACCGCTCATCCCTGTTTCCCTGCTCTGTGCTGCACTCCAGCCGGGGGGGTTTCATGCCACCTCTGGCTGGCTGATTAGGCACTGAGGCTTGGAGCCAGACTGACTAGATTCGTGCCCAGTTCCACCCGTACTAGTTATGTGAATTGAGCTGCGCTTCTTAAACCACCTATGGCTGCATTCCCTCATCTGGAACACAGGATGATGATGATGATGATGATGATGATGCTCATGCCTGCTTATTGGATCTAATCAATGGGGGGATAAAAGGAGTTAAATATTAAACAAAGCCTGGTGAAGACCATACTTACCATGGTGGATGTGCACAGGGTAGGTCAGTTAGTTATTTCTCCCATTCACTATATGTCCACCATAGAAAGGGAAGCAGGGACCTCCCCAGGAGAAGGCAAGTGAGCAAATGATCCACTACAGGACATGACTTAGGAACACCAGTGAAGGAGAGGCCCCATCAGCTCATTTTAAAAAAGGAAAAAATGACTTGAAACACTTAGACTTGACATCAGCCCTTCAATCATGCCCAAACAGATGGAGCCGCTCCACCCTCCTTCCACGCACAGTCCAAGGGCTGCCGGCTGCTCTCTGGTGACCTGCTTCCCTCTGTCGGGGTTTCCTTATTGCTCACTTCAATTGATGTCACTCATTGAGAGGAGAGGGGCCGCTCTGTCCCCTCCTAGAAAGTGCCACTTACGCAGACGAGCACAGGAGTCATAGCAATGGCATTTGCTAAAATGAGGGCAGTGTTTGGGGAGAGGCCACTCTGCTGAGGGTAGGTGACAAAATATACCAAGTGACTTCACCACCGCTCTTCTCAGCTGGCATCGTAAACTCAGTAAATACATTGGCTAAATACTTGATGTATAAGAGGAAAGTGACGTCATTCAGCCAGTTGGCAAAACCTCGGAGTTGGAAAGGAGTTCATGCTAGGCATCTGCTGATTCAACTAAAAGTAAATGAACAAAGATGTAGCGTAAAACCTTCAAACATTAAAATATTGAAGACTTGTAAACTGTGTAATAAATCCAAGAATCTGGATTTAGAGTTTGCTCACACATTGCCCATTCTTCCTGAAAGAATGTTATTTCAGAGTTAGGTAATTTACAAATACCTATGATAATGACAGACAAATGTTCTAAGGGTTCAGTTGCACTCAGTATCTGGAGTACTTTTTCACTCCACTCCCCTTTTCAGTTTTCAAAAAAGCCTTTGCAACAAGTGTGTCTATTTTTATTACAGCATGCATTTGTCCAAGATGCCAGAGCTCAAATATTCCCTAAGAGCAATTGCATGAGAGGACAATAAGTAGAAACCTAGATGTAAAAATTAGACTATGTATGGTCCATTAACGCTAATCCCGTGGCTTTAGGAGTGATGCATAATGTAATCCTCTAATAATGGGCCCCCCAAAATAGAAAAGCTTCACGGGCACTTGACTAGATGAGATGAGTAATGAGCTCATTTTGAGTGCCAGCCGCTCACTGTGTGCCGAATCCTGTGTTAGGCATTTTCTATGCTTAAACTGTTATTTTTTCCCCCTAACTTCATTTTTAATTTGGTGAAGGTTTAAAGAGCAGATCAGTTTTCCTTTCAACAAGCAGACACATTTTGTTGCAGCTCCTTGATCGCAATCCTCACAATGTGCCATCCCTTATCCTACTTCCGGTCTATTTCCTGTCTCCATTCCTCCTCCTTTCCTAACCCCTAAGCTTTGGTGAAATGCTGCGCTTTACTTCACTGGCGCTGCTGATGGTAGTGTCGTAAGATGCACAGAGTCAGCTCTGACTCACAGTGACGTTCCGTACAACAGAATGAAACACTGCTCAGCACCTATTTACCCTTTGGTCTGAGTCACCCATGGGGTGAGTTCATTTCCAGCTCTGAAGAGTTATAGTCTTGGGGGTTCCGCCAGTCCCTATCTGACTGGTTAGTGTGGCTCTTTTTTTTTTTTTTTTAATGATTTGGAGGGTCCCCCC